TGCTGGACGCTCCGTCACCATCACCTGTAAAACCAGTCATGAGCTTTGGAGCTGCAGCCGGCCTTTTACTATTTTACTATTTTATCACTTTTTTATACTTTATCATTTGGGCACAAACAACTAGAGACAAAATAAAACTTGAAGTCAAACATGAAGCGTCACACGACGTTTGTGGAAACCTCACAAGTGAATATTTATTTATGATCTCAGATATGTTCATCATTAACACTCTCTATGTACACGGTCCATTTTGGATTATTTATTGTCATTTGCTCAACATGGTATATTTTTATCAATATTTCCACTCCATGTGCATGTGATGGTAATGACAATAAACCTACTTGAACTTGAATATTATTGAGAAAAAAATGGCACAAATTAGTAATTATTCAATATATATATATTTTTTTTAAATTAACTCTGTATTATACCAATCCAGTCATTTCTGCTTTTTCCTGATTGGGTCACAGAACAGTCCCAGTCTTCACCAGGCTCTGTGTGGTCCATCCTGGACAGGTGGGACACATGTCCTTCACAGGGACACACAAGACAACCATTCCCTCTCACTCACAGAGATACCAGTGACGCTAGCATGCACATTTTTATTCTGTGGGATGAAACCAGAGTAGCAACAAGTGCACGAGCAGAACATGTAAACTCCACACATAAAAGACCGCGGGACTGGAGTTGACTCGTCCTTAAATAAAAATAAATGTTTCGGTTCATGTAGTTTGGAAACAGAAGCTAACAGCTGGAACTGAAACTCACACTTTTTGTGTTTGTTTTCAAGAAAGTGACGTTTTTGAATCAGAGAAAATATTTTTTTTCCCCCACTTAAATAAAGCAGAAATAACACAATTCATATCTGTTTGCATGAACGATGTATTTTAATGATTTCAAAAGGAAACTTGACAGGAAGAAAGAACAGAAACTTGTAGAATAAAAGTGAAGAAGATGGGAGCTCTGGTTCATCCAGTCTCTCCTTTTCAGAGTGCAGGCTGGAAGCTGAGGGTGAGGGTGTGGATGGTGGTGGGGGGTAAAAGGTAAGAAAAAGTGAAAGCATGTTTCCATATCATGGTGCTACCATCTGCTGGTATTTTAGGGGATGATAAATGGCTTTACCTCTGTCTGGGATCACAAAGCTTCTGCAACCACAGCTTGAGCTCGTTGCCTTGTCATGGTCATAGTCCCAAATCTACGCTGGAACTCCACACTTCTGTCAGGGGCACCGCCAAGGGAGGGGCAGAGGAGGCAATGGCCCTATATGGTTCAGTTTCATTGTTTGGCTTTGAACCATAAATGCTCAAACTCATGAGAAAATGTTGTGCTTAAATACCCCTTAAGTTCAGAAAACCAAATGAAGTCGTATTTTGGTGTATTTAGGGAAATTGTAGTGCCTCGCTACTTCACTGTTCGACTTTCGCGGACTTGCTCTTTCGTGGTTTTTCTATGTAAGATCACGACACACGATTGTCAACTTTAAATTTACTTACATGATTAGGACTGTACGGAAAAAGATAACGACAAAAAAAAAAGAGAAAAATTCAGACAGGCGCTGCCACACTGTAGTTTTCTTTCAATAAGCCTATACTGTAATGCCAGTCAAAAGAACTACACTACCCAGAAGTCAACAGTGTTTATATAGCCACTGCTTTCTGCTGAAATGGAGGGAAAGTTTTGCAACGTAAAGTTAGAAGTAATGATCGATCTATTAAGTTGACAGAACTGGCAAAAATATTGCAAATAATCCTGAAGCTCAATTATCCACGCACACATCAACCTGGACGGGGCGGTGGGCTTCGTCACTGCAGGGTAGGTCTGCAGAACTGGAACAGAGCCCATCTGGAACTGAGCTGCTGTTCTGCAGAGCTGGTGAGTCAACTTTTGCAGTACTGTACAGTACATATACGTATGTTGTTAAAATTATGTTGGTTTAAGAGTTTAGAACATTGCAAGAGTGTGAGAAGGGTTTATAAAGCCTTAATATATATAAATATATATAAATACTAAAATAAATATAGCCTTCCTACTTTGCGTTTTTTCACCCATCACAGTGGTGTGTGGAACGTAACCCCCGCGGTAAACGAGGGACTACTGTACTTCGTAGTTTGATATCGTCAACTAAAAAAGGATTGCTTGGCAGTATGCACATTTTCTTGATAGGTATATTTACTGACACTTTCAGTAAACATTTGTTTTCATACATCGTGTGTGTGGAACATGACGTATGCAGACTTTTCATTCATGGTCCTCACCTGAGGATTTTTCCTCAAACCATAGTTTGGTGGTAGGATTTCCTTTTTTTTTTAACTTTTCCCATCGCTTGTTATTTAGAAGTCCACCAGGGGGCAGCACCACCACAGCCTTTAATGTAGGACTGCACAAACAACAATCAATTTGACATATATTTTTTAAATAAAATGAGTACAAATAAAAAAACTTAAGTAATAAACAGACTGTACTTGCTTAATGTCTTTCTAGCCACGTTCAGCTCTTTACTGAACGAGTCTGAAAATCATTCTGTAGATTTCAAACAGAGCTTTAAATCACACTGATGGGCCACATCAGAGGCAAAGGCTGTGGTTGACGAAAATGCATCTGCTGTAAAAATAATGTAGAAAATTTTAAATTCCGCAAGCATTTGAACATTTAATCAAACAGAAACCAAGAGCGTGGTGGAACTGCTTCATTTGAAAAGCGCTTTTAAAACTTTTAAAAGTTCTGAGAAATTTTCCAAATTTCTATATTAAATTTAGGAGTTGTTGAAAATGCAATATAGGATCATGAGACGCTGTCGTGCAAGCTGTGGTCCAGTGGTTAGAGCCTCCATTGAGCGAGTCAGAGGTTCTATTCCACCTGTATTCATTAATTTATACAAGTTAGTCTCATTGAGTCACGAGGACTCATTTACAATAGAGACCTGTTCACAGTAATTGAAAAACTGTGGAGAGAATGTGCTCCAGCATCAACGTGTGGCATGGAGGCTGCTCAGCTGCAGAAAGAAAAGCTTTGCAGAGAGTGGTGAAGGCTGCACAGAAGATGTTGGAGTCAGTCTCTCCACCATCACAGACATCTACGCCTCTAGATGCAGGAAAAGGGCCACCTGCATCATGAAGGACCCCACTCACCCAGCACACACACTTTTTGTCCCACTCTCCTCAGGAAGGAGGTTGAGGAGCATTAAGTGTAGAACCACTAGACTGAGGAACAGCTTCTACCTTGATGCTGTTAGACTCATGAATATCTAACCAGAATGATCACAGTGAAAAACCACATCATGTTGCTGCTGATCTGTTTCATGTTGCTGCTGATCTGTTTCATGTTGTTGCTGATCTGTTTCATGTTGCTGTTGATCTGTTTCATGTTGCTGCTGATCTGTTTCATGTTGCTGTTAATCTGTTTCATGTTGCTGTTGATCTGTTTCATGTTGCTGCTGATCTGTTTCATGTTGCTGCTGATCTGTTACAAGTTGCTGCTGATCTGTTTCATGTTGCTGCTGATCTGTTTCATGTTGCTGCTGATCTGTTTCATGTTGTTGCTGATCTGGTTCATGTTGTTGCTGATCTGTTTCATGTTGCTATTGCTCTGTTTCATGTTGTTGCTGATCTGTTTCATGTTGCTATTGATCTGTTTCATGTTGCTGTTGATCTGTTTCATGTTGTTGCTGATCTGTTTCATGTTGCTATTGATCTGT